GAACAAAGACTCGCGGTGTAACGAGATTTTCAATTTAATTCACTGACGGTGAAAATTTAATAGAACGAGACTTTGCAGACGTAAACTACGAAATTATGAAATATTTGAGAAAGAAAGAAAGATATAGTAAGAATTTAATGAAAGTGTAAGAATTTAATGAAAAAGTACACCGACTGTTTGCCATTAATTTACAATTTAGTTGGAAAAGGTAAGTTGACTCTGTCGATTCGCGCAAATTGATGGAACTGTCTCGTGGAATTTTCTCTTTTGCCAAAGTAGTCGATTCGCGGCTACTCGATGATTATTATAATATTTGCAACGTATACTCGACCCGGTCCAAGAAACGAAAAGTGCACAAACCGTGTTATTGACGAAGTACGAGCGATACGAGAAGTCAGCGGCTTAATTCCAAGCATCAGATATAGTCACGGCATTACTCGTTACTCGGTTAGGAACTTTCTCGAGGAACGGCTGGTATGTACCTGAATCGATCGATCGTTACGTAACCACGAACGAAACGAGCAACGCGCGCTCCATGGAAATAGAGTTATATTAAGATGGAAGGCGTTTCCGAACGGTACACCGGGTATAATACAGCAGCGAAGCGTTGATACAATGGATCTACGCGACCTAACCCGTCCACTGTCCCTGCGTAATTCTGGGAAACACCCCTACTGTCTCCTCTATTGTGCCGTCGGGCATAACAATGTCAATGTCTATACCGTTAAGCCGTCGACGAAACGTGTACGCGGTGTACCCCAATTATTCCACTTCCGCGAAACATTTTCGTACCCCCGTCTGCCAATGATCTTCGCCTTTAGGCCCGATTATAATCCCTTGATCCTTTAAGCTGACTTTTCATCGACCAACCACCATTCGAACGCGCACGTCGAGGACAATAGTCCCGAGGTGCGGTCTACAGAGTTGATCAATTACGTCTTCTTCTAATTTCCAACATTCACGCGCTGGACGAATTAATCGGCCAGGAGGCACACGAGACTAACAGGCTACAAATGTTGCGCAATCAATAATCTGAAAGCTGAATCGTTCGCTTCGACAGAGGAAAAGGATTTCGGTTTCAATTTTGCGGTGAATATTTGGTTTCAATTTTATCGAGAATTAATTCACTCGTGTCAAATTCACTGTCGAGGTTTCACCAACGGCGACGTTGCAACGCGCAATAAAAATACCGCGAAATTTTACGCAGAAAGGCGGAGACTATACTTTTATAAATTTCACCGTGAAACAATCTAACCAGGCACGTGTGTATTTTCGCCGGCGAATATTCGACGATCAAGATCTCATCCTTGGATATTGGACACGTTGTAGGTCGATTTTCGTCGGTCTTCCGGAGAATATAAGCCTGGGCTTTCGTGTTACGTAAGAATCGATCATCTTCGGGTATTACGCGGAGTTTAATGGCTCGTGGCTGTTTACCCCGCGAGGGGCCAAATCGCACGGGGGAGAATCCCTCGTTACTATCGACAAGCTCGGTTCCATCTCGCAGTGTGATTTATTGCGAAATAACAGGCTCGAAGTGTCCCGTGCCAGGTAAAGCCCCGACAATGTCCGGAACACCTACGAATTAACCGGATAAATGGTGTTTCGACCGACGAGAGATCGCAGTCGCTCTCTCGCAGTGATCGTGCGATTTTCATCGTCGTGCTGCGTGTGGCGGCGTCCAAGGTCCGTTCGTTATTCCCTCGCACTTTCGGCGTTCTAAAAGCCGCTGAAAATATCGCTCGCCTCGATGGCGCGTAGAACCGACCTTTCGAATTCAACGATTTTCCGATTCAGAGGAACAGCGTATCTTTCAACGTGCTTCAATTATTTTTAATCTATGCTAATGCGCGTAATCTATGTTAATTATCGGAATGCGTCTCGAGCAAACGTACTTTTTCGTTTCGTTCAAGTACGAGCTGAAATATGTACGAACTGTACATACGTCGCGCCGCGACCAAAGGAAACGTTTGGTGGCGTCCGCGGACGAAATTTAACAGCTGAAAATTTACAAAGCAAACGTTTCGTCGTGGCCGATAGGATTATTATACGGAGGATTTTATAATAATCGGCGTTCGCTAGGGCGTGCTCATAAAAAGAGCGTCGTATAAAGTATTGCTTGTTTATGCCGGCGGAGGCATTAAGATTACTTAACGCTGTTTTTGAAAGGCGGGACTTATAAATCGCGAGACGTGCACCCGGCTAAATGAATAGTCGCTCTCACTCCCGTGCATGAAACGTGTAATTATCCTATTTTCATCGAGAAACGTTTACTCGTTTAGATAATGAAGAATGCACGGTCTGATATTTCAGAATCAATTTAGTCATTCGATATTTATGGCACTTTCTTCCGCCCGTTTTCGTTCCTTTTGTTTTGCATGAATTCACGCCAACTTGAAAGGCGTATCCGCGCTCGGCCGAGACGCAGAAACGCACGTATCGCGTATATATGTACGTATTACGCGCGATAATTAATCGATCGCGAAACGATGAACAACGATGCACGGAGAAAAATGGTAGGTACAGAGAGGAAGCGAAAAGTGGCCAACAGCTTTCGGTTAAAACGATGGACCAGTTTTTCCGGCGAGCGTTGGTTTATTAATGCAACGGATGATCGTTCTTCGCTTCGTTAAAACGTAATCACGTTCAATTATCCGAACAAAGTGTCCGCCATTTCGGTCGGATAATCGAGGTCGCGCTGTAATTTGAATAAACCACCGCGCGAAAAATCCGCCGATGTGTATCGCCTGGCAAAAACGAAACGCTCACCACGCCGCTTTCATCGGCCACGAAAAATATTTCAATCCAACGAAAAACGTTTCACACAAGAGGGAACATCGAGGAAGCGATGGACGGTATTTTTTCGGGTTTAAACGGAGGCAATTTAGTCTCCCTTCAATCGGTCACCGTCGAAGGAGCAAAGCATCGTAGAATGTCATCGAGTTGTCCTTAAAAAATCCTGCGAATAATCGCTTGGGAAAAAGAAAAGAAACAGAAAAGAGATAGAATACTTGGAGGACGAACGCGAGGAACCGAAAGAACAAGATGAAAAAGAAAAGTCGACGAGCATAGTCGAGGATGAAAGAAGGCAAACGGAGAAGAGGCGAAGCACGCCCGCGATGTGCGAAGCCGAGGATTAAGCGCGAAAGCAACGACGTCCGGCCCATCCTTTAATCCGGCCGAATATTAACCAGATTCGCGACCCTGGTCCTTTCATATTTCGCCAGTGACGGCATTCTCGCAGCGACTGTTGAACGACCGTCGTCGAGATCGAACGAACCGAGACTAAAAGAGAGAAACCAGAAAGCTGCTCGTACCTGAAACGAAGAAAATAACCGACGAGAACAAGAAAATAAAATCAAAAAAAGAAAAAAAAGAAGGAAAAAAACGAAAAAAGAAGGAAAAAAAGAAAGACGAGACAGGCCGTAAGAATAAGATATAAAGTAGATGGAAAGGCGTAAGACGGATGCACGTCGATTGGCGACGTTATGGAAACGCGAAGGGACGCGCGTGTACGCGGCAGTGTCGCGAACGCAACGGGGGCAGGACCGTAGGGGCCTGCGGGGTGGAAGTGTGCGCGCGGGATGAGAGAGAGTCATAAAATCGAGCGAAGTGAACGCCAGGAGGGAGACACTGAGTGATGTCGGTGACAGCCGCCTCTCTGCCCTCCTCCGCCTCCGCCGCCTCCTGTCGCTATTACTCACCCAACGCCGAATACCATTCAAAGTTCGAAACCGCACGTTCGCGACCCAATTCCTGCGTGGAGTCAGCTGTTCGTTCGGTTCATTCAAAGCTCGATCGACCGCCGCCGCCGGCTGGCCGTCCCGCGACCAGACGCGTTGAATTAATAACCAGGGAATAATAAAAAAGGAAGAAAGGGAAAGAGGGGGGGGGAAGAACGGAGAAAAGAGAGAGAGAGAGAGAGAGAGAGAGAAGCAAAGAAAAAAAGAAGAGGAGCGATAAAACGAAACGATGTTTAACGCGCGAAAGTTGAGTGCTTTCCACCCCCGCGTGTAACACCCCCTCTTGTTGGCTCGAGCAATGAAATATGGCATCGAGTCGAGAATGACGGCGTCGATACGCGGCTTCTCGATTCTGTAAACTCGCCGAGTCTCTCGGTACGCGTTCCAACGATCCATCCGACGGCCGGCATTTAGCCGAGCCTCGTTATTTGTCAGGATCATCGGCTGCGTTATTTAAGACGTCGAGCAAGCGCGACCAACTCTTTGCCAAGAGGCCGCGCGCTCCTATCCTCGCGGCTATTCTACTATTTCTGGCGCGATACGCGCGCAGCACCGGCTTCCTCGCATTGGCAGAGAGAGCTGCCCGCGAGAAATTTCGAGCGTTCCTCGACCGTACGATGGAACAATACGGGCAACACGCGGAAGTTGAGCGACGGCGTTGAAATTCGTAGAATTCGAAGAAATATTCGAACGCGAGGTATTTAGCTCGTATCGACACCCTCGTTACACCGGGACGATCGCGTGAGAAGTACCCGTACATACTTCTTATCGCGCGCCGTTCGATTCGTTCAACGTCGACGATTCAATTTTGCAATTCTTCAGAAACGAAAGGCAAGAACGCCGAAGGTCCGACGCCCACGAGCAAAACAGGTTCACGCTCTTTTCGCGCGAAAAACAAGATTCTACCGGAGTAGAGAGAGAAACCTAGATACATACAGTGAGGGAAGAAAGTTCGGTCGAAGCTTCGGTCGAGGTTTCCTCTCAAGCGAGATGGTGGAAGCGGAACGAGGCATTCTGCTGTACGAGATTGTTGCGCTGGTCCTCGTGTTCGTCGGTTTCGTTCGTCTAGTTCGTCTAGTTCGTCTCGTTCGTCGTCGTCATCGTCGTCGTTGTCGGTCGGCGGTCTCGTTGGTAGTGGTGTAGCGATGGCGGAGAATCCCATGGTTCGCGGTCTCGCCGGTGCGGCGCTGCTGTCGAGCGAGAATGGTGGGGATATGGGCGGGGCCAGGGGGCGCATTGGCCGCGCTTCGGGGGCGTGACTGCGCGCCTCCCACTCCTTCGCGTAGCACGGCGCTGATTGACAGTTGGCGAACGACTGCGGACGGCGCAGGATCTAAAACCGCGCTAGGCGCTGCTTTCCACGCTCGCTCGCTCCGCTCTTCTCTTACCCGTGGATCTACTCTCGGTGCTTTTTCGTGGGGGAAGAACTCGAAACACGCATATTCCCGTGGCTGCCTTTGCCCGCCGGCCCGCGCGCAATATATACACCAACCTTCCACCTTCTGTCCGCCGGAGTTACGAGTGGCACACGCAGTAGTAGTTACGGTTAGGGAGGTGGGTCGGCCACCGTCTCGCGGACAGCTCTCTCGCGCGTCACCTCTTCTCTCACTCCTCTGCGTGACCGGTTCGTTCGTTCAGTAATCGCCGCGAGGAGGAACGCGCTTCTTCTTCCGCCGCGAACACTCCGCTTCGAGGACGCGTACTCCGCTACGTTTTTCCACTTCGCACTCGCGTGGAGAATAATTCCGCCGATAGTATTTCTACCTACGTAGAAAGCGCGAACGGGTTTGTTGTTCGGTGTGTCTGTCTATCGTGCAACATCTTGGAACGAGGAACGAGCTGTCACGAAAGGAGCTCTATTCCGGACCGCGACGACGCAACATTCGCAAACAAAGAGAGAGAGAGAGAGAGAGAGAGAGAGAGAGAGAGTGAGAGATACATCACATCATCACCGGCGCCACCGATTTTTCGTTCGTGTCGCGTAAACACACGCGGTCGCGGGCGAACTTGGCCATCTCGAAACGCATCGGATCGACTGCCGCAGTGGACTGTTCGTAGTGCTTGTGCCATCGACACACAATCCTTTGCTCTCTAGTTGATCATTCACCGTCCGGTAGAGATATCACATCTCGTCGTGATATCTAACGATATCGACTCGTCGCACCGAGTGCGTTCTCCGGTGCTTGCAAAGTTTTTTCGGGACGGCAGTGTGTCGCGCGCGCGATCGACGGTCACGCGAGTCACGCCGTCCGCCTGTATGCTCCGTTTTGTTTTCCCTGCAACGTTCTCTTTCTCTCCTCGTCGGGACGAAACTTCGACGATAACCTTGATTTCGCGCCAATACTCAACGTTGATAACAGAGGATGTAAACGTGTTCCCTCCCGTTCAGTGGCGTACGCAATAAGGCAAATCTCTCTTGTGTTTACACGCGAACGTGTCGTTCTGTATGAAACATCTGTGTGAAACAATAATAATCAGTGACAACCGACGAGATTACTCTCCGACGGCCAACGGCGGACAACCGTTTCGGAGCAGGAGCAGCAACGAGAGAATTATCCGTGATAACTGGAAATCGTGGTGATACTTTGTGGTGTTGAAAAAAAAAAATAAGTTAGTTTTCGTAAAAAAGGCAGCGGTGATCGTGAATCCGTCGGGAAAAGCGGAAAGTAGTAGTCTCTAGTTTTTCGTGTCCTGTATCGGTGAAGTTCCACGACCGCGAGAGACTTCGCTTCTCTCGTTCTTTGTTTTTTTTTTTTTTTTTGGAACACGCCAGCGTCGCAGTGAGAGAGAATAGATGAGAGACCACGTGTCGGGCAAAGCGAGAAAGTGGATGGTATAATGTCGCGAGACTGACGATATACGGAGGAGGCACGCTCTGTGAGTGTTGTAGTTCAACGGAACTTCCGGCGGTGTGACCGGGACAATGAGGAAGCACGTGTGTCCGGCCGTAGCCGTGGTCCTGCTGCAGCGTTCAACCGCGCGTGCCGAGCTCTGCTGACGCTCGCTTCGATTTCTCGTCGTCAAACAGAGCGTCTCGTATCGCCGGTCGACTCGGATCCGGGGATCGTCGAGAACCGACGGAGCCAGCAGCAACTGGTTCCAGTAGTGGTTCATCTGATCAAGAACAGTCTCGTGGAACAGTCTCGCGTGGAGGTGTCGTGCGTGGTCCATCTGTTTCCTTGCGGACCGTCGGCCACTATCCTGTCCGTCGAACCGCCAGGCCAAGAAGGTACTTGGAATTTTGGAGCCATCGCAGCGAAGAATCCAGCGAGGAATCGTTCGACGAAGGCGTAGATATAATCCGCGAGTCCTCTGAGTGTGACGAACGGGAAACGGGCAAACCGATCGCCGTGATAAGGCGAACCGAAAAGTGGAGAAGCCAGTGTGTGTGAAGTGTTCGAGGTTACTTGCTTATACTGTGGGAAAATACAGCCGCTACGGTGGCTCAGCACGCAGAGTTCCCCGGCGCGGCCAGGGCGTTCATGGCGCAGCCAAGGGTACGTCGATCTATCGATGACTTTTACACACAGGTTCACACAGACCACGCGTTTCCTTTTTACATGTCCCTTGCTCGAAATTCGAGTCAACCGAACGCGAGAAACTTGGCTGCGTGGTTCGCAAGAATCACTCGTTACGTGTGATTTATAGTCTTTTAGGGCAGTAGGTGTTGCTTCTCGTCTCTCTCTCTCTCTTTCTCTCCTGGAATGCAAACGTCTTTAACGTTACTCGCGTTACGCGTGAAACTTGAAATCGGCAGCCGTCGGTAAGTGCACGAGCGCGATCAGAGCGCGGGCTAGATCCAACCGGAGAGTTCGATGCTCGGGGGGGTCTATAAATCTCCTGTATTGAATAGCGTCGAGATGGATTCACCTTGTGACGCAAGACTCGTTTCGTCGACTTGAGAATCGACTCCTCTGTAGGAGAACGTGACGGTGTAGGTCTCGGGATGTAGAATCTCGTGAAAGTGGCTTGTAGATCGGGTTAAATCGAGTTCGAAACCGGCAACAGCCGGCTGGCTGTTTCGACGTGTCGTTGGATACGCTCGGTTCGCTGGCCAAACGATTCGTACACGACTCGAGGAACAGGCCTCGGCAGACGCTTTGTTGTTCAACTGGGGCTTCGGTGTAATCGAGCAACTTTGAAGCAACTTCGTAGGGAGTGAACTTGCGTAGGCAAAAACGTGGTAGGGTGTCTCGCGGGATCGATTCACGACCGCCGTTTCGCAATTTCCTTCCTCATTGAACATTCCGCTGCAGTAACGAGTTCACCAAAAATCCCGCTCGTGAAACAGAAAATTGCGATCGCCTCGGAATTTGGGAATAGCTTCGAGAGAAATCGCGGGGGCACGGTTAGGTGAAACTAGGAAAATCCGTCGGTTCTCGAGCAAAACGGGTCGCGTGCAAGCGTGTGTAGTGTCGTCGATCCGGAATCCGTGCTCAAGTTCCGTTCCGGAGAAACTCTCTCTCTCTCGAGGTAGACAACCCGAAATTATCATTTTACGTGAATATCATGCTCGGCCGGATTGACATGCCATCGAGATGCACGAATCGATACGTGAGAGCGTCTGCCGGATGCCCGCAGATACCCGCCGTTCGAGGAATTGATTACGATTCTTGTCGTCGACTGGAATTTTGTTCACGCGAGCATCATTCCGACCTATTGCTCGCTACGCAACGTACTCCCCCCTGATTTTCACTCGTTCGTGAATTGGTGTCTCGAAACTCCGACTCGTGCTCGACATCACTGTCCGTCGGACGTGAAATCGTGTCCTCTCCGTGAAATGTTCTTCTATTCTCCTCAGTTTATATCTTCCCTTGGGAAACGTCCATCTTCTCCCAGAGAAAACAGTGCGAAACTTTCATCGCGGTAGAATCGTATTTCTAACGAAAATTAACGGTAACGAGCAACAAGGTGTGTTGGAAGAAAAATTCGAGCCACGATTTGATGGAGACTTCTTTTTCGTCGTCTTCGAAATCTTTTTCGAAAATCTTGTTTTCGGCGAAGCTAACCGTGAAAATAATCGACGGAAATTTTGATGTCGAATTTATCTTGCAAGTTGAAATTTCGTTCCATAGTTGAAGTGACTGAGAGCAATCAGAATTTTTGATTTGAACTACGGTTCACCGAAATCCACATTTCCAGATAATACGATAATAATTGGACGAAATCTAATTCCCCAGAAAGGGAACGTTCCATTCACACGGCACTTAACAACATACACGAAAAAATGGCTACCGTTGAGAAAGGAAAAGGTATCCCTTAGAACCAGATAGCGCCAGATGTCGAGATAAAATTTATCAGCGGGTACGTGCGAGTCGATCGTCGTGTCACGATTTCGTCTGGCATAATATTACTCTTGTAAATGGTTAATCGGTCAGGTTTTCGGTGACGTTTCTGGAATTCCAGCGGCGATCACGGTTTTATCAGGCACGGCCAAGTGAAAACGGTATCGGTGTCGATAAAGAGCTTTACTAAGAGATCGCCGATAAGCGACGATTGCTCGCGTGCCGTCCGATTTTCAAGTGACGGATTCTTACCTCTCGTTCAGATTCTACCGTCGGTCTCCTCTCTTTCCAGTCAGTGTCGTATCTCGGAAACATATATGCCTCTGTCGAATTTCCAACCAAGACTACCAGGTAAACTGTTCTTCGTCGAACAGAACGTTTCTGTTACTCGACAATTTCAATTCGTCTTTTCCTTCGCGAGTGTTTCCTAAGAGAGTTTCAAAGCGATTCGTAAATCGGGAATCTTCGAGGAATTCAAGATGTTTCAGATACCTGTTTGCAGCAGCGATTGATATTTATTGATGTTGGTGCAGTTTGTTTGCGTTCGTTAATCTCAGTGCACTTGGTAAAGTTTCAATCGGAAATTTGTGTCACGTTTTAATAATGGATCGTGGTTTGACCAGTGGCGTTTAGAAATTTAAGCGGCAACGAAGTTGTCTCGAATGCATAATTCGGAATTCGTACGTGGCCGAACAATTTCGCGAAATAGACGAATGAACTTTCATGCGTACGCGAGAAACGCGAAGTTTGATTCCCTCAAGGCACGAGCAAACGATATTTGTTAAATATTGCAAGGCGCGCCTCGAGGCGTTTTCGATTAGTCGTGCATTATTCAAGAAAAATTATTGGAGCAAAGTACGTCCGATGTGTTCCCGCCTGAATTATGCATTCAGCATTCTGATATATTAATTCGATAGAAAATTTCACGTACCAGCAACGTTCTTTATTAATCTTTCTGACGCGTTCATGCTCCATAACGTTTTATAATCTATAATCTATGTAATTCCAGTTTCAAATATTCAACAGATAAAAGTTCAAGTCGATTTCAGTAAATATTCATCTCGATTAAAAATTCAGTCTGAAATTTTTTTGCCTTTCTGTTTCTCTCGCTTCGGCCGTCGTTACGAGCAAAAAGAATACTTTGAACTTGTTCGTCGCCATCTTGGTCATCACTGACCGCCACCACTAACTTTAATTAAGCCGTACTCACACCGCGTTGCCACTTATAACCGTCAAACCACGACCCTGATCGATACCAGAAAAAAAAAAAACCCTATCCTAGGCATCGAGAGTGTACACGAGAGTACACTCTGGCTCAAACATCATTGCAACTCTGTTACGCAATCTGTTTGTCTTTCGAATCGCGAAAAATGATCCACTCCGAACTAACCGTGGTCGCAACATTCGATGAAAATCTCTTCGTCCATCAGAGCCATTGACTTCTGTTACACAACTAGTGACCCATATATCGCTGAAATTTGAGAAGAAAAAAAAATATATTCATACAAATAAAAGAATATCGAAAGAATCGACTTGACGGAGTTTCTCTCGTTTTTTCCTTTTTAATTTGTTACTCGAACAATCGCAGTTACACGGTTAGAGACGAGCGTGAAAAAAGAAAAGGAAAAACGCTAGAAAATCGCGAGGATGACGTTGAAAGTAAGGCGAAAGCGAAAGGGTAGGATTCTGTGCGTTTAACTGCAATAATGAGAGCCGCGGATTGGCCGGTCGTGCGAAATCACACGGTGTATAGACGGCGACTCAATCGCTTCTCTTACGAGCGGTGCACGTTTTACCGCTCAATTTTCCTCGGACTGCTCGCTGCTCGAAATTGCCAAGATACCGGAGAGACCGCATGTATGCATGCACGCGTTTCGCGTGCGAATCGCCCTTTTCGCCCCGCCACCGCTACCATCACCGTGCCCCGAATACCCGGGCAAAACGTAATTCGTGCGTTGCATCCGGATCCATCGGGCTTATCCTGTCATATTCGACCGGTTCGCCGGTAATTTTATCGCGTATACTTCCTGAACTTGCGGCAGCGCTGCTGTTCCTGTGATTTATGCGCGCGCGACTCGCCGCGTTTCCACGAAACAAATTTTCCTTCTCCTCTTCCTTTTGATCTTCTCCGATTTGGCGAAAAACTCGCGATACCGCCAGCATTTCTTTTTTCCCGCAACGTTCTCGTTTATATTCTCGCGTATTTTCTTTCTCTCGCTTTTGATCTTTCCTTTCGTGCGTAGGTGTCTCCTCGTTCGATGGAAAATGAGAAAATTAGAAACTGAAAGGGAATTTCGAGAACGAACTCCCGAGTATCGTGACGTCGATATTCGGGCGACGTGTTCTCGAGATTAAAAATTCCAGAATTCCAGGTATAAATAAAAAAGACACCGTGACAGCAGAATTAATTCTCTTTCGTTTCCCTCGGTCTCTCGCGGTATCATTTTGTTTGGCAGAAAATTGGGGAAGGGAATTTCGAACGAGGGTGATGCCTCGGCCATCTATTTCTGAGATTCGTGACTTTCGCGAATAGGTGACCGCTGGCGGCGCGTTCTCTGGATTAAAAAATTCCAGGATTCGGTGAATAGCGGCGACGAGCGCGAATTTTTGTCCACGCTGTGGCGACGAGCGAGCCGCGATTATGTATTTATGGGTATATCCATCAATCACTTTCGCTCTCCCGTATCGCCGCGGATACCGGCCTTTAGCCTATGGATTAAAGTCGTATCGATTTCTCGCGCGTTCCATTCGCTGCCCTCGATGAGGCACGATTTTTTTTTTTCTTTTTTGGCCTCCTTTTTCTTTTTTCTGTCAGGTTTCTGTTAGGCTTTTCGAGGGAACCCCTCCCCTTGGTAACGGTATACGGGTCGGAGAAAAACGCTGGTCTGTTGAAAAAGAAAGTTATCGGGAGATTCCTGTCGCCTGACTGGTTATTTTGGAGTAAAAAAAATAGTGGGGGGGTCCCTAAATATCGTCCATGTGTCCCGCTTCAGACGCGAGGAAATATTTCAGCAGATGTATATATATTCACCATCCCGTTTGTCTTGCCGTGTAGCAAAAGTATTCAGGTCGCAGAAAAATTAAGAACGTTGCATTTGGAAATACGTCTCTCTCTCTTTCTTCCTTGGTTTTGTATTTTTCATTTCAATTTTTTGTCGATGCCTGTCAAACTTTTCAATCATACGTGCTGATTCGTTATACGAAATAGAGAA